CTGGTGCTGGCTGAACACCCATCTTGGGGTAGGGGAGGGGTCTGCTTTCCAAGGGAGAGGTTCCCAGGGAAGGCGAACCCCTCACTCTTTCAGGAAGTGCTGCCTGCACTGGCTCCTCTCCTGGGACCTGCTTGAGCTGAGGCCTCAGAATAAGCCTCTCCGCTGGGTCCTGGGAGGAGGCCTGCTCCTTCCAGGGCTGCTCAGAGGCTCTCCAGGGCCTCCCAGCGCTCTTTTCTTTGATGCAGTCAGGCTCTGGAACGTGGCTAGAGTCAGCTGTGGCCACTCCACAGGATAGCAGAGGCCTGTGGCTCTCTGAGGGGCACCAGCTTGTCTAGTTACACACTCAGCTGAAGCACAGGTGCTCCGAGTTGTTGATGAGACTGTATGTCTGTGGGTACAGCTAGGAGGGCCATTCCCCACTCTGCTGTCCTCAGCCCCAAACTGGCCAAAGGCTGGGGGACTCAGCAATGGTGACAACTGATTCACAAGTTTGATTAAGCACCTACTATGTGCCCAGTACTGTTCTAGGTGCTGAACATTACGTACTAATGGAAAACACTAAGTAATCATTGGATGTGCATCATTGTATTTGATTTCTCCCCAAAATGCAATGGGAGGGCGTATCATACTATTATTATCCTATTTTAGAGACGAGGACAATGAGGCTCAGACTGGGAGGTGACTTGCCCTAAGTCACATGGGCAGGAAGTGGCAGAGCCAAGCAGAGACCCAGGTGGTCTGACCCATATTGGAGCCCTGCGCTGCTGCCTGGTCAGGAATGGGGGGGTCCTGAGATGAGGCCTGCCCCTGCTTCCAGCCCCCATGGCTGGGCGGCTGAGAAGGGTGGAGCTCTTGGCTAGAGCAGGGAGCCGCAGCGGTTCCCAGGAATGCGGGGCTGTGGGGCCGTTTGCTTTGGCAGCATATCTGCCCTCAGCTCTCCAAGCCTCCCTGTGGGCCCCCTCCCAATCGGCCCCTCCAGCGCCCACTCACTGCCTGCTGCCCCTTCTAGGCTCTGCACCTAGCTCCCATAAACCCCTGGGCAGAGAGGGGGTGGGAAGCCACAGCCCCTTTGCCTGCCCCTCCCCACATCCATGGGCACAGGACGGGCTAATGGTGAACATGCTCACCTGGGCTTGAAACTCAGCTCAGCCAGAGAAGCTGTGTGACCCTGGACAGACCACTTAATCTCCCTGAGCTTCAGGTTTTGCACCTGTAAAATGGGGATGAAATAGCACCTGCCTTCACAGGTACGTTGTCCGACTACCTACAACTGGCAGTTGGTACCATGGTGGTGATATTCAACCAGTTTCCAGTCCCCAGCTTGCCACGCAGTTGTGTAACCTGAGCCCATGCCCCTCCAGCCCTGCTTCCCCACCTGTAAGACCAATATGCTGATAATACTGGTCCCTGTATCGGACACAGAGTACCCTCCCAGCAGGTGGGAGCAGATGGGCACAAGGGAGGCCAGGGACTTGCTTCTGCTTTCCATTCGATAGCAAGATAGCCACATGGGCTTTTGAGAGTACCGCCTGGGCCCTTGTCCCCAAGTCCTAGGCCAGACAGGCCACCACTGACCAAAGGGCAGTTTCAGGACTACCCCAGGAATAAGGGGTGTGCCTCTTGTTGCCCTGACAACACTGCTATACTGGCTACACTCACCTGGCCCCATGCTGCTACTGGGTGGGCAGAGAGGGCCCCCATCTTACAGAGGGCCGTGTCCTGTTTCAGCCAAGAAGACTCTTGAGTGCTTCTCAGGGGGGTGTGCCAAGCCCACTCCCTCCAGCCACACAGGAACACCTCCAGGCTCAAGGCCAGCCGGCAGCCCTCTCCTACACAAGGAGGAGGGTCTTTGTCCAGAGCAGATTCCTGCCTGCTCCCATTGGCCTGGTGACCTTGAACCTCAGTTTCTCCATCCGTGCGGCAGGGAAACCAACCGCAGCCACTCACAATAATGGCTTTAGAGTGTTCAGAGAATTCATAGACGGTGCCTGGCACATGGTAGGTGTTTAACGGATGGTGACTCCCCGCTCTCGGCTATGCGTTCCACCCTACGCCGCAGTACGCTAGCGGAGGCTGTGCCTTCTCTGGGCCTCAGTTTCCCGGAAGGTTCGGCCCGCTGGCCGGTAGGGGGCCGGCCCCGCCCCGCGC